GCCTACTCTGGTGTGGAGAGCTCCAAACCTCTATATCCACAGCCTCAAACAACTAAGGAGTGGGTGCGTACATTTGGCCATGCACACCATTTTGTCAGTTTGTCACAGGCATACTATACTACTATAAACTCTATAAGCAAACTGTGCACACAGTGAGAAGGGCTAGTTCTAACAAGGCATCTACTATATGTTAGCATTGAGATAAATTTCACAGTGCATCTAGCAATCACTTGGCTTGGAACAAAGCAGATGACGGTAAAACAGTTAATGAATGGCATTCACATGTCTGCCTAAGCGGGTCCACACCCCTATTGACAGTTTCTAATCCACCACCACTCAGAGAAGAGACCACCAAGCATGGAAGAAACCACTTACAATGTGTCTGAGCGGGGACACAGTGGAGGGCAACTGTAACATACCAGCACCTGGGGACTTGGAAGATAGAGAATGGAAAGTTCAAAGTCATCTTCAGCTACCTATGAGTTCAATGCCACCCTAGCGAACTGTAACATACCAGCACTCGGGGACTTGGAAGATGGAGAATGGAAAGTTCAAAGTCATCTTCAGCTAGTTCAATGCCAGCCTCCACTACCTTAGATCCCCTTCCCCCCCCCCATCTCTAAAACAAATGAATAAACTTAAAATGCAACATGCTTCTCACAGTGCAACATGACAGACTGTGTGATGAGCTGAGGATAGCTCACCTAGCTCACCATGAGTGCATAGGCTGTGTTAGGAATTGTGGTGCAACATGTTCACTGCATGTATTACCCAAGGCATTGTCTATATGGCAGGTGATATTATCCTCCTCTTAACAGAGAGTAGGTATCAAAGTGGGTAATTTCTACAAGTCAAGTGGCCAGCCAGTGGTGGCAGCAGACAGTGAATTCTGACACCCTGAGTCTATCGCTGCTGCCTTCAGTCTCGTGCATCCTATGTGCAATAGGGGCAGTGAGCACACAGGAGCCACAAGAACGTGGTGTCCATAAATGTTTTTCTAGTAGAGGACTTCTTGACATTATGATTCCAGATATGCTCTCTGTGAATGGGGGCTGCAGCATGAAAACATTACAGTGACAGATTGTCTACGTGAAGGCTTCTAGTACAGCCATTAGCACCATGACCAAAAGCAACTTGGGGAGGAAAGGTTTTATTTAGGCTGGGAACTCTTGGGTCACACACTTAATCACTGAAGGCAGTCGGGGTAGGAACTTGAGACAGAGGCATGAAGGCAGAAACAGAATCAGAGGTCATGAAGTTACTCTGCTTACTGGCTTGCTCCATGGCTTGCTCAGCATGCTTCCTTAGATCCTCCAGGGTGGCACTGCTCACAATGGGGTGAGCCCTCCCATATCACTTGGGAGGCCTTTTCTCAATTGGGGGGCGAGGTCTCTTCTCTGATGACTCTAGCTTGTGTCAGTAAACAGACTAAAGAGATGAGCTGTGCAAGGGAGGCAAGTAAAGGATGGGACAGTGACTACTATATATTAAAGGCAGGTTGTATGAGGGTTAGACCCAAGTAGAAGATGGCTCTATAAGAGACAGGACATGAAAGGAGCAAAGGGAGCATTTTCTAACTTCAGAATACACAAAAGGGGCAGGGGGATAGCTCAGCTGGTAAAGTGCTTGTCCTGTAGGCATTAGGACCCAAGTTCAATTCCCCAGAACCCATATAAAATTGCCAGGAATGGTCATGTCTGCTTGTATAACCAGAGCTGGGGAAATGGAAAGAAGAATCCTAAGACATCCTCACAAGGGGGCAGGCAGCACCTAAAAATGACATCCAAGGTTGACCCTTGGCTTCCACATATGTACACATGGCAGCCCCATGCACACACACAAAAAGAATACTTACAAAATCTTTGTGGAATAAACAGTGTGTGTGTGTAGGGGGGTCATAATACACAAGGAAACAAACACACATGTGATTTGCAACACTGTATCTACTGCAGCTCCTTAAACTGCCAGAGAAAGGTAGGCTACAGTATCCAGTACTAATGAGCTACTATATGTCTGTTGATAAAAGCTAAGATACCAAACTAGGAGCCCACAGCTTCCAATAAAAACTCAGGGCTCCTGGCATGAGAAAGACTGGATACATAAGGGACTCACCTCTGCCATCTCCAAACCTGCAGATGGGACATGCTGACCTAGTGTTTATTTAAATGCATGGCCTCAACCTCTCTCAGTAGTCAACCACAGTCATCCCTAATTAATGACACACCTAGTGTAACAAGGACCTAAATGTCCTCCCTGTCTGTAAGAGTCTCAAGAGTGGGAAATTGGGAAGCTCACTGACATCTGTAGTCTCTACTAGACACAGGAGCCAAAGAGGAGCCCAGCAGCTTTGTGACTCTAGGGAAGGGAGACACCACTTTAAGGCAGAAACTGGAAACATCAGCAGGAAACCCCAGAGCAAAGCCACTGTGTTCCACAGACCTCACAGTCCTGCTCAACTACATGACCACTAGATCTCAGCCACATCTCATCTGCCTCTGAGAGATCACCAATAAGAAAACTTGAACTGTGTTTGAGGGAAGATGTGTGAGTCTATACTCCTCCAGCAGGAGGTCTGGCGGTTGTAGCTTTTCTGGCAAACCTCCAAACACTACATCATCAGTTCATCAGAGGGACTTCATGTGTGTAGTTTTCCCTTACCTCTCAGACATCAAAACTGCAGGATGCCAAACAGTACAGGTGGAATTTAAAAAACAGACCTGGTGATGCACATTTTTAACCCCAGTACTTGGGAGGCACATGGCAGGCAGATTTCTGCTAGTTAAAGGTCAGCTTGCCCAGGCCAGCCAAGGTTACATAGTCAGGCAATGTCCAAACAAGAAGAAAGGAAAAGAAACAAAATACACTCAATGTTTATGTGCTGAGCACCTGTGTGCTGGCTAGTTTTATGTCAGCTTGACACAAACTAGAGTCATCTGAAAGAAGAGAGCCTCTATTGAGAAAAATGCCCCCAATAAGGTCTGACTATAGAACATTTTCTCGATTAATGATCAATGGGGGAGGGCACAGCTCATTGTGGGTGATGCCATCCCTGGGCTGCTGGCCTTGGGTTCTATAAGAAAGCAGCCTGAGCAAGCCATGATGAACAAGCCAACAAGCAGCACCTCTCCATGGCCTTTGTATCAGCTCCTGCCTCCAGGTTCCTGCCCTGACTTCCTTCAGTGATGGACTATCATGTGGAAATGTAAACCATTAAATAAACTCTTTCCTCCCCAAGTTGCTTTTGGTCATGGTGTTTGACCCTGACTAGCACAACCTGTGACTCTGTCTCCAGGCACCAGCATAGGGACTGAGAACCTAAGTGTGAGGAAGACTGTCAATATCAGAGGCAACAGTGTACAGATCCGTTCTTATTAACCTTTAAGGGGCCTTCCAAGCAGGAAGTGACCTGAGTCAGTCAGTCTCCGTTCTGTACCTTTGAGCAGAGTGTGCTTACCTGGAACATTCTCATTACACATGAGCGATCAAAGTCAGCCTAAGCACACCTTCCCCTGAGGTTCTGACTTCCAGCCTATCCCAAAGAGATGCCTGTACTCTCAAGTGTCAACCGCTAACAGTGGGGACCACCACTGATTTATTTAGAGATGGATGATCCCCTCAGGAAACTGGTCAGGCCGTACAGAGCCTGTTCAGCAAACAGCCACCTGGATTTGATCACTACCACCCAGGTTGAGAGGAAGAAAAGAAAAAAAGCAGAAAGGCAACAGGGCTGTATGTGAGGGTAACCCTAACCCTAGTACTGGGAAGACAGAGGGGAATCCCTGGGACTTGCTGGCCAGCCAGTCTAGTGCAATCAGCAAATTCCAGGTTTGGTGAGGGACACAGACTCAAAGAAAGAAGATGGACAGCAATTGAGGAAGACACCCAATGTCAACTTCTAGCCTCCATCATGCGCACATACAAAATGATCATTCTCCAAACAGTACTTCTGTCTATTCAACAAATCTTGAGTGCCTACTATGAGCCACTTTTGTTCAAGGGACCAGGGAAATCACAGCCAACAGAACAGGGTTTTTCTTGCCCAGAGGGCAGGGTTCTTCTGTAGTGCTTTTTAAAATCTTCATGAAAAGATGAGGGTCAGTACTCAATACTGAATACCGGACTGTTTTTTAGAGCCTTGGGTTTCTTCGGTCCAAGCTCTCCAAGCTCACTCAAATCGAAGATACATAAACTAATAGGGAACAGAAGCTAACGAAGTCACTTCTAAATGAACTTCCACTTCTTAAAAACCTCAAAAGAACAAGGAAGGAAAAGAAAACAGCCACGAAAGTGTTGCTGAACCAACACATTTATACACTGACAAAGCATTCCAATCCCTTTGGAAGCGACAAAGAGTGGCTCCCCTCCCCAGGTCTTGAAACCCGGAGTTCAACTGTCTTAACAGATCTCAGAAAGTTGAACGCACCTCAGTTTTCCTAACCAGTCTTTCCAAACCTTGATTTCTTACCGAGCAAGTCCCCGGGGAAAAATGAGCATATGCTACTTGGACGAACCAACCCAGAGAGTGACTACAAGGGAACTGACGACAAATTGAGCTTCAAGCACACGGAGAGGCTCAAAGACTGAGCTCCTCGTGCGCAATCAATGTAGAAGCAATTTTAAAAACAAACAAAAGCCGGGTCCCGCACAGCCCGGTAGAACGTTCCAAGTTCCTAGGATAAGGAAACGAGGAGAATGTGCTCCAGAGCCGTCGCGAGGCTCTGCACGGCGTGGGAGTTCCTGCAGGATGTGAGAGGGATTCCGCGAATTCGGTCTGCTCTGAAGTGGCTTTTGTGAGAGGAGACAGCTGGCACCCCACGGCGGGCGAGGGTGACGCCTGGCTGTGCCTTGCGGCGCGGGCTGCCACCTGGGCACTCCCCCCATTCTCCGCAGCCGCGATGCCAGACGCGAGAGCCCGGCCTGCGCCGCTCGCGCCTCGGGAGCCGAGACCTCTCGAGGGAGCCCGCGCCGTCCAGGCTGCGAGCAGCACCGCGCGCACTCACCTCAGCAGACTGGAAAGCGGGTGGCTGGAAGAGCCGAGGCCGCCGCCCCCGGAGCCGCCCCCGCCGCCGCCGGAGCCGCCGCCGCCGCCGAAGCCGGAGGAGAGCCGCTTCCCGGACAGCAGCTTCTCCACGGCCGGGAGGTGCCCGGTGCGGGCCGCCTCCAGCAATTCCTGCTCCTTCCCCATCCCCAGGACCGCCACTCCTCGGACCCCCACCGGGGGCCACGCAGAGGCTGCTGCGGCTCCCAAACTTTCCGTCTCCGGGCAACGCACCCCTCAAACCGGCCGGGGACGCCACCCCCTCCTGCCCCCCCCCGCCTCCTTGGCCTCCCCCCCGCGGCGCGTCACTTCCGGGATCCGGCGTCACGCGTCACCGCGCCCCCGCGCCCCGCCTCCTTTCCCACCTAGTGGGCGGGGCTCCGCTCCACCGTGCAGGTGACTGAGCCAAGCCGAGCCGCACCGAGGCGTGCAGAGCGGAGCCAGTGCACCCTCCCGTTCAACAGGTGGGAGAGAACGCAAGCGGCACACCTGTGGGAGCCTCCTGACGTGCTCGCCTTCCTTCCCAAAGGTTTGGGACCTCGTGGGACTGGAAATAGGACAATTTGTTCTGGCACTGTAGAAACAAAAGAGAAATTTGGTAACGCGGGCCTATGTTTTCAGTTCCATTCAAGACTCATAGATCAAATACGGGGTAGGCGCGGACACCTAGAACCAGACATGAAAAATCCCGCCCCCTGGTGCCTCCTTGAGGGAAGACCAGAGAGCTTTAAAACAGCAGTTAAGTAGGATAGGTGACACATACCATCCCAGCACTCGGGAAGCAGAAACAGGTGTAACTCTGTGAGTTTAAGGCCTGCTTGGTCTGTATACATAGCAAGCTCTAGGCCAGCCAAGACTATATGGTGAGACCCTGTCACAGAAAAAGGGACGGGGTGGTTGGGTGGAGAGATGGCGTAGCGTTAAGAGTACTGGCTGCTCTTTCAGAGAAACTGCGTTTGATTCCCATCACCTACATGACAGCTCACTACAGTCTGTAACTCCAGTTCTAGCGGATCCCACACCCTATTAATGGCCTCCCAGGATACCATGAACGTCATGTGATGCACAGACGTACATACAGCTAAAACACTCATACTTATGAAAGAATTTAAAAGAAAAAAATCTTTTTTCCCCTCACTCCATCCTCAACAGCTTCAATGAAATGTTCAGAAGAGACCTTCCTCTTAGTTGTCACTAAATTAACCACACATTTTAAAAGTCAGATTTGGAAAACCAATTCCGATATTGACTGTTGGTGACCAGGAAAAAACAAACAAACAAAAAAACCATGTAATTGGAAGGGACGATTGGCTCGACGCAGGTGACCAATATAATTGATGCGTAGAATGAGAGTATTGGAAGCATTCTGCTGGAGTTAAAGATGCTTGCGGAACAAGGGGAAAGCCATAGCAATGCCTCGAAAAATGCGAGATTGGGTCCCGGCCGGAAGTTGTTCAGTCCAAACCAGCAGTATTCTTTGAGGCCGGCAAGCAGCGGGACTGCGTTTTCATCCCCGACTGTGCTCGGAGAGTCAAGTTAAAGAAGGATTAATTGCCATTGAGTTTCCACAAAGAAGGAGAAAAAGAAGTATCTCGGCAAACGAATGTACGCTCTTTCCAAAGAGCTTCTTCCCTAAAGCGGAGGATGCACACTTTTAAGTTTCTTTTTCGTGAAAACAAACGCTGTTTAAAGGAATCCCCTGAGCGAACAACGCGCTTCTGAAAGTGACCCCTCCGGGGAGCCGTGGGAGTGACGTCATCGCGGTGCGACGATGAGCCATAAACCCTAATTCCGTGGCACTGCTGTCTGCCTGGCTCCTTCACCTGGCAGTGCTGCCGCGATGGACAACCCTGGGGAGTCACCCTCGGACAAAGGCGGAGAGCCAGGGGAGTCGGAGGAAATGAGGGCTACTCCTGGAGTCCCGGCTGCCGCCGACACTGAAGGAATCCCGGAGGAAATGGACGGAGATGGAGACGCGGACTTGAAAGAAGCGGCGGCGGAGGAAAGCGAGGTAGGTACAAGTTTGTGCTTAAGGCTGGAGGAGTACCCGGGTAGCGTTACTGTCTGCTGCAAATTTGAGGGGCAGGGAAGAGAACGAGGACATGTAGGCGCTGCTTCGGTTCCAGGGGCCAAGCACTGCGTCCAGTCTGCGCCTACCAGTGTCTTAGATGCTAAGTCCCAGGGGCCTCCCGGAGTCTCATTAAAACCATCGACTGTGCCTCTTCAAATGCTAAGCTTTGTTGCCTACTTGAACCCCAGTTTCTTTTCTGCAGGCAAAATCTCGGAGTTTTAGGGCTGGAATTAACTTTGAAAGATCACGGAGTGAACAGTAGATAAAATGGAAATAGGCTTTCCAAACGTAACTGCATCAAAATGCTTGAAGTAATAACTTTTAGGAAAAAGAAAATGTGGGGAAACTTTATAAGACTTTGCTTTTTTTCTTTATTAAGAGCATCTCCCTAACACAGACTGGCCCTGGGCTTATGAAGATCAGCAGCAAAACCGTTTTCAGGAAAAAAAAAAAATTAAGCTTAATATATCTCATGCAGGTAGCTGAAGTAGAAAGAATAAATTCCAAGACTTAATGAGCTAAAAAATGAGACCTGCTTCTATCCCAGCTCGGAAGACAGACAGACAAAGACAGAGAGACAGAGAGGAGGGGAAGAGGAGAAAGGAGGAAGGTTAAGGACAAGTAAATTTGAAAATCTGAAGCATGCAGGTTAGAAAATGTGTATAGATCAGTAGCTAAAAAGTTGAAAGAATTGTCAGATATATAATGCCTTCACTCTCCCTCTCCCAGTTTCTGAATATGTTTAAATATGAATCTTTTTCTAAAAGAACCATTAAATCTCAAATTATTTTTGATGTATTAAGATTCCATAATAAGCTGGCCATGGCATTATAGCAGTCATGAGTAAAACTGTTTAGTGCTTATTTGGAGAGAAATGTAAATTATAAACATCTTCAAAGCCCAGCATTGGTGGTGAACGCCCTTAATCCTAGCACTCAGGAGGCAGAGGCAGGAGGATCTTGATCTACAGAGCTAGAGACAGGCTCCAAAGCAATACAGTGAAACACTGTCTTGAAAACAAATAAACAAATAAATAAATAAGCAAGCACTATATTGAAAAAACAATAAATAAATAAACAAACAAACATCTTCAAACAGATTGTATCGTAGGGCAGGCAAAATGACTTGCCACCAAACCCTGGGAACTTGAGCTTGATCCCTAGAAAAATAGAAGAGAAGCAACTCCACAAAGTTGACAGTTGCAGGTCCATACACATTATGCATGAATGTTCATAATAATTTTAAATTTTTGTGTGTGTGTGTGTGTGTGTGTGTGTGTTTTGCCTTTGTGTATGTATGTTTGCCATGTATGTGCCTGGTCCCTGTAGAAGTGAGAAGGCATCTGATCCCTTGAAACTGGAGTTATAGTTGACTAAGCTGTCATGTGAATGTTGCTCATCAAACCTGGATCCTCTGCAAGAGCAGCCAGTGCTCTTTCTTAACCTATGAGCCATCTCTCAGTTTTAATTTAAACTCAGTATGGTGGCAATCCCAGAAAGGAGGCTGGGGCAAGACAATTTCCACAATTTGGAGACCAGGGAATTTTGGGCCACCAGCTTAAGCTACAAAATGAGATGTCTTAAATTAAAAAAGAAAAAATCAGTTTCCAAACTGGGTGTGGTGGCAACATTTGAGAAACAGAGGCAGGTGGATTTCTATGAGGCCAGCCTGGTCTTCATAGTAAATTCCAGTACAGCCAGGGCTACTATGTAAAGAGAGTGTCTCAAAAGAAGAAGAAGAAAGTTTGTAGTCTAGTAATGGGAGGGAAGGGTAGTATCATGGTCCAGTAGAGGAAGGGTTAGAACACAGCACAGGGTAGTGCTCCCAAGACACAAATGCTGCTGGATGAACAACTGCTAACATCTGTAGGATGAGGGTGAAGGAGTGATTTTTCCCTTAACCTTGATAAACAGATACAGGACCTCTATGTGATCATAGCTCATATGGAAAACTGGATTATTCATTTTCTTTAGCTGAGCTATAACTTTCCTTTAGGAGCTAGACAGCCTCTTAATGCTGATGGTGTAGGCAGTGCCTAGAATCAGACAGCTCCTACACAAACAGATTTGCTGCTGTGGACAGGGGAGGGCATTTGCTGACTTTGCCCAAGCCTGAAAACTGTACCAAATCCTTAATAAGTTTCTGTCCATCTTCCCAGCTCAAGAGTCAGGATGCCTCAGATTTAACAGCAGTTGAGAGGGAAGACCCGTCACTACTCACCCCTGCAGCCAAAAAGCTGAAACTGGACATCAAAGAAAAGAGAGAGAGGAAGCAGAAAGTGGATGAAGATGAGATCCAGAAGATGCAGTGAGTCTCGTGACTGTCCCGTTTCTAGGCCCGACATCAGCCCTGCTCTCTCACTTGCTTTTTGTTTGTTTTGAGATAGGGTGTCATGAGGTTTATGTTAGTCTTGATCTGATTTTCCTGCCTTGGTCTCTTTAGTGCTGAGATTATAGGCATGGACCACTATGCCTAGATATAATTCCAAGCCAGCAGGTTGCCAGATAAAGGTGCCACCAATCCTAATGACCTGATGGAAGGGGAGAACCAGTTCCTGGGAGGTCCGTGACCTCCATAGGCATGCTCCTACATATACACAAAATATATGTATAAATATAAGGATATTAAATAGTTTGTTTCTAAATATTGTGTTTTTAATATTACATTTGGTCAGTGTTTCTCATATGAGTATTTATACATCAAAATAATCATTTTCTTCAAAAAACATGATTTTATTTTGTGTTGCAATAATATGGGCTCACTGCAAATAACTCAGAATACCCAAAAAAAAATTTCTCAAAATCCGTTGCTGAATCTTATTCTAAGAAAGTAAATCTAGGTATATTTGTGCATGTAATATCCTCATAACTATTAGTGTTTCCTGTTCATGCTACATCTCATCTATGTGTGAATATTAACCCCTTTACCTGTGCTGGGTAGAGTTTTTTAAATATTGTTTCTTTTAACAACACTTACATCTTTGGACATACCTCTACATGTCATCCATTTCTAAGATAAACCAACTGTACGAACACTAGTTTGTTTCAAAGGCTTTTCATCATATCTCCAGATTTATGAAAATTTTGGTCTTGTTTTAGTTGATCATTTCAAGTTCCTTAATTAATACTTAAGGTTCATTTTTTTTCCCCTCCATCTTGATTAGTCATTGTTATTTCTGTGAATTTCCTGTTTTAGTTCATCTTCTAAAACTGATTTGGCCATCTTTTATTTAAAAGAATTAACTGTAAAGAATATAGGGGGCTAGAGAGACTGCTCAGAAGTTAAGAGCTGTCGGTGCTAACAGGACCAATAAGGTTCTAGCACTCACATCAAGCTACTCACAAATACCTGTAACTCATTCTAAGGGATCTGGCACTCCCTTCTGGAGTCTGTAGGCACCTGCACACACATGTGCGCAGACACACACAAGCAAACATATTCAAACAGGTAAATGTTTATAAAGAACAGATACAACAAGCAGGTAGGGCACTGGCCATCAAGCCGGACAACATGAGAGTTCAATACCTATGACCTGCATGATGGAAGGAGAGACCTGCTTACCGCAGTTGTCTTTCATGTTAACCACACAGGCATAGCAGATAGACTCAACAGCTTAAAATGTTAGGGCTGAGGCTATTTGGCTGCAGAGCATGCAGGAAGCCTGGTGTTTGATTCAGCATTGAGTAAAACCAGATATGGTGGTGTTATCTGTAATCCCACCCTCTGGAAGGTAGCACAGGGAGGTCAGAAGTTCAGGTTTATCCTTGATGACATTAAGTTTGAGGCTAGCCTGAGGTATCATGTCTCAAAATTTTTCAATATATACATTTTTATATTTCTGCCTAAACTTAATATTGAAGAACCCTGCTTTGAACAGAAATTTCTATATTAAATATTTACCATCACTGTGAAATACAGTCAGCACAGAATAAAGTGCTGTAAGCAGAATATACTGCTGTAAGCAAGGTGGCCTCCCACTCCTGAGCAGGCATGCACCACCACATCCAGCAGCTTTTGTCTTTAAAGAAAGGAAATTATGTTTCCCTTTTCTCTTTCCAAAGTTCCTTAGAGTGGAAATGTTTTGTTGCCATTCCTCAAGAGCACCAAGCCTAAAGCCGCCTACTCCTTGAAACATATTTTTTGTCCCAGGCTTGTTTTTGTTGACTTATGCCTTTAGTATTCAATCTCATTAACAATTTAATTACTTGAATCTTTGTCTAGAATCCTGGTCTCTTCTTTTTCTGAGGAGCAGCTGAACCGTTATGAAATGTATCGCCGGTCAGCTTTCCCTAAGGCAGCCATTAAAAGGGTAAGGATGGACTGCCCCAGTGTGTTCCTGCCCCATCATGCTAGGAAGATGCTATACTCCACAGCTGTCTTCAGCATCTCTATTAGAAGGGAAGATAACATTACCTCTCATCTGACCAACTCCAGCCTTGTATGCCAGGTGTAGCAAGTCATGCCACACATTAATCTTTGGGGGTTTTTTTGGATTGTTTTTTGGTTTTGATGTGTCTGTGAGTATATACCACACGTGTGGGTGCCCATGAAAGCCAGAAAAGGGCTCATCAGCTACCCTTGAGCGGAGTTACAGGTGGTTGTGAGCCTCCCAATATGGGTGCTGGGAACTGAACTTTAGTCCTCTGAAAGAGCTGCAAGTACTCCAAATTGAGACCTCTTTGCAGCCCCAGATCCACATTTCAGTCTGCTTTTGCACACAGCCTTCAATGTGGCATGTACTTGCACTATATTCCAGAGCCAGTGGCTGACTGTCTTAACACAGCCTTTCTCTCTTCCTTCCAAGCTGATCCAGTCCATCACTGGTACCTCTGTGTCCCAAAATGTTGTGATTGCCATGTCTGGTATTTCCAAAGTTTTTGTGGGGGAGGTAGTAGAAGAAGGTGAGTATCGTTGCTTACATAACATACATTGCTCTCGTGGGGATCTTACTTTCAAGAGTATCTACACCAGGGTATTCAAGGGTCTGTGGGAGTTTCCTGCCACACTAGAAGTTGTTCCTGTAGGGAGCCTTGTCTTGAGAGCATGGCTATTCTTGTAATTTGTATTAATGGGTGGGTGCAGGTAGAGGGACAAGGATGAGATGTCCAGGAAATCCCACAAGTTAACCCAGGGTGACAAAAATAGTTCTGTGTTTTTCCTCAGCAGACCTTGCTTCTGCTGTTCAGTGTAAGAAGACAAGCAATGCCCTGATAGCAAAAGCCCTACTGGGAGCTTTCCCTCTACCAGCCTGGCTGTTTCTCATGGCTCAACTCTAGCCTATGATGCCATTTTCTTTCCTTAAGTTGTGACACTGGGGTATAACTAAAGCCAGCGTGATAGACCTTGTAACATTTTATTTAAGGAAAAACATCTGGGTTTGTTTTCAGTGGCAAGTTTCACAAAAGCCAGAATTATAACTTGGTTTGTGATTAGTAAATCTTATGTTGACAATGCTCTGTCTCCTTTCCCCACACCAGCCCTGGATGTGTGTGAGAAGTGGGGAGAAATGCCACCACTGCAGCCCAAGCATATGCGGGAGGCTGTTCGGAGGTTGAAGTCCAAGGGGCAAATCCCCAACTCTAAGCACAAGAAGATCATCTTCTTCTAGAGCTAACCTAGGAATGGTCCAGACTTCTCTCAGTTGGGCTTCCACACTGGTGCTTTGTGGTCATGCTCCAAGGACCTGTGACAATGATTTAATATCTGTCACACCTACAAGGCACACCAGGAAGAAAAACAAAGACAACTCGGGTGCTTCACTTTGAAGCCTAAAGTTGCTAAGACACAAGTTGTTTCTTGCCTCTGGTTTTCAAAAACTTGACTTGGGATCATCTGCCATGAAGACACTCACGGGAGTCAAAGACTTCTTGCTGTTTAACATTTCAGATTCTCCTGTGGATTGTGTGAGTTATCAGTAAACTCTTCCAACCGGTGGAAGAGTTTATTTTGTTTAAGGTAAAATGCATCATTCTCCTGGTCTAAATAAAATTAACTAGTTTTGGTGTTTTCATTTTGGTTTTTGGAGACAGGGTTTCACCACATAGCCCTAACTGATGTAGAACTCACCATGTAAACCAGGCTGGCCTTGAACTCACAAGAGATCCACCTGCCTCTATCTCCCCAGTGCTGAGATTAAAGGAACCAACACTACTTGTGTTTTTTTGTTTTGTTTTTTTAAGCAGACTGTCACTGTGTAGCTGACTGTACTGGAATTCACAGGGTGGCCTCATACTCACAGAATGCCACTACTAGAGCTTGGCACTAGTCTGGTTTGGTTTGGTTTTTTGAGACAGGGTTTCTCTGTGTAGCTTTGGAGCCTGACCTAGAACTTGATTTGGAGACCAGGCTGGTCTTGAACTCAGAGATCTACCTGCCTCTGCTTTCTACGCGCTGGGATTAAAGTTGTGCACCACCACCACCTGGCTAGTCTTGGCTTTTCCATGAAAATAATCTGTTTTTGAGACAGGATTTTACTATGTGGCCTTGACTGGTCTAGAACTTACTATGTAGACCAGGCTGGCCTTGAACTCAGAGCCTGCCAGTGGCTCCTGGCCCTTTTTCCTAAAAAGAATGAAACAAGAACCTTAGCTTTGGGCCTGGAAAGAGAGCCCAGCACTTGAGAATAAAGAACCCAAGTTCAGTTCCCTGCCAGCATCGGAACACTTATAATGTCCCATAACTCCAGCCCCAGAGGATGCAGTACCTCTTCTGACCTTCACAGGTGTGGACATAAAATCACACACAAACACAAGGGAATAGCCTGAGCTTGTGGTCTTCTGCCTAGTACCCCCTAGTACTAGGATTATGGTGCGTGCCACCATACTTGGTTTATACAGTGCTGGAAATCAGGATCTCCATGCATAATAGGCAAGCAAGCATGGAAATAACCTAGGCATATTCCAGTATCCAGCACTGTTTAGAGGCATGTAAATCCCACATTTGACCAGAAGAATCATGAGCTTGAGGCCAAATTAGGTACACAGTAAAAAAAATTATCTAAAACAAACACAAGTAAAAGCTCATCTTCAACTCCCACAGATACACAAGGACCAATGCTGTTTAATTTTTTTAATTTGCTTTTCAGGTGGTTCACAGAACCAGTACACTCAGGGTTTGATTAGATATTGCAACATTAAAATTTCCCAATACTGACTAGGATTCCAGTTCCTTGTATACATTCTTGATGCTTTCCTCAGAGAATGAAGTGACTTTTGACAGTGATTAGCAGCAGTAAGGCTACCTGATATAATTGGCAATCCACTGGCCTGCTTCCCATCCACTGTTGAGTGTCACAGGAAGAAGACTTGGAAGCTGTTCTCTTCTGAAGCTATCCTGAGCAAGTCTTGTTTTTAGCACCCTGAGTTAGGGAAACAGCTCAGACTCATGTAATTAGATCAGACTTTTAGTTACATTAAAACTCACTGGCTTAGCCAAAGCAGAAGACACCAGGGGAGCATTCAACAAAGACTGCTGGAAGACTCAAGCCTAAATCTTGACCAAAAACTAGTGAACTAACAAAATTTCCCTCTCAACTGTAATAGGAAATTCTTAACACGTAGGAACTAGTCCTACTTTGATAAAGAATACCAGATAAGGCAAGAACATAATAGCAGGACAGGAAGCTCAAACCCCAAGTCTAGCCACTCAAAAAGACCTCACTCTTAAGCTAGAGTACTTCATTGTGCCATGGGGCAAAATGCCTTACCATTAACAGCCACTCTCCATACCCATCCTGGGGAGTGAGACATGGGGCACTTGGTTAAGACCTAGGACTATCAAAGAATTGTGTGTACCCTCTGAGTCTCCAAGAGTTAGTCATTTATATCATAGCTCTCAACCAGATGTTACTCTACTAGCTTGTATAGTAAATAGCTGTTTTCAATTTTTTTTTTTTTTTTGGGCTTGGTGTCACCGATGTTAGAAGTTTAGGCATAAAGATGGAAGAAGGAATTTGGAACAGGAAGTTTCTATCCAGGAGAACTCACACTATCTTCTTTGTAGGGGCTCAATCTTGAGCCCCTAAGGAAAAACTACATAAATTAACAGCAGACATTTGAGTTATGGGTTCTGTAAGATGTGGTATCATCTCTAGTCCATACATAGGTACCATTCCTTCAGAGCACAGAAAAATGAAGATTGCAGCCCATGACACAGTAAAAATAGCTCATTTTCATCAGACTCAGTTAATCGTTCCAGTAAAGTAGACATTGACAGCCATAGCTGCAGCCCAATTAGAGGACTCAGCTCGAGTCTACACATACGAATGCACATTCCCAGTACATGCATGTAAACAGGAAATCTAGGCAATCACAGATGACGTGGTTACATTAAGAGCATTACAGCTGAGAGGATGATGTGCAGTGGCTGAAGTCTCTGGGGACAGTGTTGCTGCTCTCCAGAAGTTTTCTTGAGGTATTATTTCATGTTGCAGCTTCACAGCAAAACTCTGCCCTTCTCTTCATTCTGTTTTCTTTTACCTTTATCCTACCTAAATATTCACACAGCCAGTTCACATTTCATTATGACAGTCTGCCCTGTTCATCCCCCAATGAATAGGGGAAACTGAATTATAGAAGATGACATCATTGGAAATCCCATGGAATAATAGTTTCACCACATTTCCAGGGATGACTTCCATACATAAAAAGCCAAAGTCACCACATAAGCCAAAACTCTAGGCCTCCGTTTGCACATGGACAAGAACCCCAGGCCTCCTTCGGCTCAGAAATCTGACGTTCTGACCATTAAGGCATTATCCCTGACAAAAATATGTTTTTACTGCAAGCCTGAGGGAATAGCAAACCAAGTGTTAGTACACACCTTCTCATGCAGGGATGCCAGAGGGATGAGGTGGTCACAAAGGAAGGGATGTGATTTTAGGTCAATTCAAGTGATCCTGATGTTGAATGATTCTATTTTCTAGTTACTGGCTTTCCCTCTAAGAATCTTAGAAACACAGATGCCAATTCTCAAACAAGCTCTGCAAATTTCTGACATTAATAAAAGTGCTTTCTTTTACCTGAGGCAATGATAAAGCCCTAGAGCTAATGTTTCAAGACTGGGTTTCGCCCCAGTCATGTGTGGTAACCTGCTTCCCTCAATTTTCATCTCTGCAGACTAGTCTCCATTTTCAGTGGACATCCCACATCACTCTCCCTGTTCTCTGAACCCCCGTTCCCTTCTCTATGTCTGAGATAAAGCCAATAGAACTGCCCAGTGGTTGGATGGAGTCACTCCCACAGTTCTACAGGTGATGCTGCTCTTGCCAGCCAACAGTGCCTTCCTAATGGGAGCAGAATGTGGCACGGCATCACAATGATCCCTCCTTCCTCAGCAAGGGTCTAGACCCTTTTCTGAGTATTTTTAGTAGTGGTTCAAATACATATGACCTTGATTTCTGTTGTGTTTATAATGATGGGGGTGAGTCCGGGCCCTCATATGTGTCACTGAATGCTACCACTGAGCCACATCCCAGTCCTTCCCTGTCATGTTTCATATTTACAACCCTGCTCACTGACTTTTTCTATGGCTGTGTTTCTCTCTTCTGGTCTGCTTTTCATTGCCTAGAAGCAGCAACATTTAACTGCATTTAAAGTTCTAGGTCATTTATAAAAATTTGAAACAAGGGAACTTCACCAGCTAACAGTGTCTCAAGAAGATGTCCCCAAGTCTGTACTGTGTCTCCTCAGTGTAACAAACCACAACCCTTTACCAACTATGTAGAAATCAGCCTTGGTGAAGAACATGACTGAGTCCTGAAAGTCCCAACAAACTTCATAAATCTCTTTTACCCTTGAAACACACAGGATTGTGCTTTCACTTCCCAGCCCCCAGCCACAAGCATTGCCAGCTCACAACCAACCATCCCGGCAGGTAGTGAGTTGATGCTTCGGCTAGGTCAGTACTACTTGGAGCACAGCACAGAGCAGAGTTCTGGCCTAAGGAGGGAAGGGAGCTCTTTCTCAGTACCAGAAGGAAACCTAGATAGATTGACTTAAGTTGAAAACCACATGATTTTAAAAGGCCATAATAACAGAGGGAGTGAGGCAGCACACTGAGGTGTTACGACTAAGTTTAGAGCACATGTTTAGTTCCCAAACTACCGAGTGCTGATGTTAGCAAAGGCAAAAGGCCACAGGCTAGGGAAGCAAGTGACCTGGGACTCCTGGTGTGTGACAGAGCTGTTCTTCTGTCTCACCATGACCTCAGCTGAGCACTTTTTCTTCATTTAAATCTCAAACTAATTGTTATGCCAGGAATAAGAATCTGGCCAAGTGACAGTCAAAGCATCACAATGAAATTCAACAGAAAAGAAGCTGGACCCAAGGCTATCAGCCAAGGTGGTATCAGCTTAGCTCCTATTCCAAAATAGGCAGTCCACGGTTCCCTGACCTCAGGCCTCCTCTGACCCCACCCATGAGGTTGGGCTATTTCCTGATCTACTTCAAAACTCAGTCCAAAGACTTTTCAGATATGCCATAGGAAGCGCTGGGACATGGGATCTTTGGTGGCTGTGCACGTGACTCAGGTGGACACTTGTTCACAGGGGCCATAAAGGAAGCAAACACCACTGCAGGAAACCATAAGGTGCAATGCTCTACAGTGTAGAGAAGATTCCTCTAGTATGCAGAGGGCTACAAGGCTACATAATGGCAAGACAGGGTGCAGGGCCTGGTACATAGCCATCCCAGTTCCCGGATGCAGCCATGCTCACCCTTGTCCTACACTCAGGCTGACAACCAGCAGGAAGCACACAAGGGAGTGACCTGGATGCTCCCAGCCCCGCTGGCTCCTCAGCACCTCTGTCCTAGGTGATGCTGTTGCTGGTGATATCTCTTCTCCTTGGCACAGATGGTTGAGCTGCTGTCAGAGCTCAAAGAGAGGGTTGTATTTCTTAATCTCCTGGAGAAGTTTTTCTTTGTCCTGGTTGGCAATGGCCAGTGCTTGTTTGGTGTCCACAAGTTCTTGCTGTAGGGTAGGCAATTCTTCCCCCTGAGAGACAAGTAGTTCACCATTAGGGAATCACCAATATGGAGTTGGGGAAGGAGAATCCAACAGAAGCATCAGTGGGGCAGTGGTTAAGACAATTCAAACAGTTTCCCAAGGGTTCCATTCCCTCTGTGGAGCTCATCAACTACAGTGACAGCAACAGCAGTGGCCACTCCCCCACCAGCTCCCATCTATAGCTGCTGCTGGTGACAGGAGCCCACACCACCCCTCCACACAACAGGTGATCCTTTAGACTTCTGGGTTTTAATGCTTCCACAATTACAACCCCCTAGAGGCTTATGAGAATGTTAGGTCGGGTCCTCACCTGCAGTCCCAAGCTCTCTCCTGTGGGCACCAGGAGCACCTGTTCTTTTGGGAGCGGCTGTTTCTCAGTCACTTCGGACAATGGCCTGTCCTGAGCAGGAGCTGGAGAAATAACCACTTTAAGTGATGAATGGCTGCCAACAGCCTGGTAGGTCCTACTTGTCAGCTACATTGACTTATCAGAGAAAGATGCAGAACAGAGAAGCCAAGAAGCCTAACTCACCGCCAAGGTGAAACACACCATCGTCATTTCGCTTCAGCACAAGATGCTCCACTGCCAAAGTGATGGGGACAGGGCCAGGGGATGTTGGATAGATGGGAGGGATATCATCCTGAAGGACAGAGAGGACCATGTGACTTTCCCACCCAGCTCAGGGCAACATATCCATAATTCTGCCATTCAGCTCAAGGCAGTCTGACACCACTGATTTTGTCTCTAGTTACATTTAGTTATTATTCCTGTGTGTGTGTGTGTGTGTGTGTGTGTGTGTGTCTGTGTGTGTGTGTGTCTGTGTCTGTCTGTCTGTCTGTGTTCTCAGATGGAGGTCAGAGGACAATTTATGGGAGCAGTTTCTCACCTTCTACCATGTGAGTCCCAGGGATTGAACTTGGGTCCTCAGGCTTGGCAGCAAGTACTTTTACCCACTGACCCATCTTGCAAGCTCACCCACACATTCCTGCAAGGTATAAGAGACATAACCAAGCCTCGCCCTTCCTACAGATGGTGAGACTGAGATTACACAACTAGCATCTTGGCATGGTTGGGTTACACGACAAAGACATGGTTAGCATCACAAATGACCTAGGTTTTGTGAGTGTATATGTGTGTGTATGCACGTTCACTTTCATGTGTTCATGCGTATATTCACGTGTGTGCATGTGGAGGCCAAGGTGTCTTACCTCAATCTTGCTCCTCCCTTTTTAAATGTTTTACATTTGTGTATGTACATGTATGTAACATGAGTATGCCTGGTGCCTGCAGAGGTCAGAAGATGGAGTCAGATGCCCTGGAAGTGAAGTAATAGATGGACACTGGGAAAGAAACTCAGGTCCTCTGCACAAGCACCCAGTGCTCTTAACTGCTGAGCTTTTGCTCCAGCCCTCTCAAAACCCTAATTCTGAGATGATTTCTCACTAAACTTGAAGCTCACTGGCTAGCAAGTCCCTGGGATGTCCTTGTCCCCACCTCCCCAGAATGGGTCTTTTTAAACACCCATCCTTACACTTGAGCGGAAACACTTTTCCAGCAGAGCTGTCTTCCTACCCCAATTTAGTCTTTTACATATGCCACCCATTTCCTCAATACTGAAATACTGGCAGATAATGCCATGAGGTGACAGGGAAGGTACTGTCACTATAGAGTCCAGAGCAGACACCATGGTCCTCTCACCTTGAGGGTGATACTGGAGTGCAGGAGTTCAATCTGCATCGGGACCACCACTGGGACTTCCTCGTCCTCCAAGAAAGGCCCCAGACCATTGAGCACTGAAGTGAAGAGCTCCAGGTCACAGCCCTGAAGTAAGAACCGCAGGAAGCCATTTTGTGTGGCCAGTGGAGAATGAACAGATGCACCAGGCCCCACCTCAAAGCGCAGACCCACAGCAGGCCTGATGTGGCCAGTCTTCGGATTTGAGGATTCCTGGGAGCTTGTGCCTTTGAGAAGAAAGCCAAGGAAAACGTATTACCACAGGGACTATTGTAAGCACTTCCCCTATGCCCTATACTCACAACCCTTGGCCAGCATATTAGTACCATCCCATCTCACATGAGTGAATGAAGTCTCGGAGAGTAACTCACCCAAAGCAGAAGTGAGGCCTAAAGTCAGGCAGTCTGAGCCCAGGAGTTGGGCTCTTTGTTAGAATGCCTCAGATTCAGGAATGGGAAAAAGCCTTGCAGGAACATGAAGCACTTAACTAAATAGTGCAAGGAAATTGCTTAAAACACAAGCCCTCTAACCCCCAAACCCTAGCATCTTTTCCTTCACATCTGTCACTCCTCCACCTGAGTTTCCCCGAGGAGAGAACAATCTGCATGGAAAAACTGGAAAGCAACTGCCCAGAGCAGTGGAAGCACCCTGCTTTAGGGATCCAGAGTGGCTATGTGGGAAGAGCCTCAGGGCAACTCTCTCAAGCATGTGCACCAGGGAAGAGATACATGGAAGGTCACAGCACCTTAACTCAAACAGTGACAAAAGGTGGCATGGCGGCACATGCCAGTGAGCACAGAATTGAGGGGACACAGGAAGAACAGTAAGGAATTCAAGGCCAGCCTGCCACACATAGTTGAGCTGCAGGTCAGCATGGACTGCATAAATGAGAACAGGCCTATAAACAAACAAGACTTTTTACTATTCAAATTATACCTTAAGACCTGGGAGGGAAGGGATACCCAAAAGGTATAAAACTATAAAAATGAACTGATCTAACTCAAGAACCTGAAGCGTCAAACAGACCAGGTTTGAGCCAGGAGTGTGGTTGTATATGACAATAATCCTAGCACTGGGGAAGCTCAAGTGGATCAGGAGTTCAGGACCATCCTCAAACATGCCACTTTCGTGCACAGCCTGGGCTACATGAGACCCAGATTCATAAATAGGGGCTGGAGAGAAGGTTCAGTGGTTAGGAGCCATGCTCTCGCACAGGGCCCAAGTTCTACCCCAGCCCCAGTGGTGGCTCATAACCATTTGTTATTCAAGATCCAGGGGATACAGCACCCTCTCCTGGCCTCTGCAGGCACAAAGCATGAACCTGGTGTACACACATCGATTCAAGTTAAACATGAAAGTAAAATCAATCCTTAAGATTTGTTAATAAAACCTAGAGTAGTGCCACACTCGAGGCTAGCCTGGTCTATAGAGCGAGTTCCAGGACAGCCAGAGCTACATAATGAGACCCTGTCTCAAAATAACAAAACACAACCAAAAAGATTTGTCAATGAAAACTGTTTTGTGAAGAAAATCAAATCACAAAATAATAAACACAGTGTAATGCAAGAGAATGGTTGCTCAGGAATGGAGGGCAGACCAGAGGCAGTGTTAGGGGCAACACCCAACAGGTGCTATGGTGCATATAGACCAGGTGTAAAGTGTAAGGTATATAAGGAAGGCAATAGAATACACTGCAGTGATATTATTTTATGTGTATTTTATAAATATTCTTCGGTATCTAGTTAAGAATCCAGATTCTTCCTGCCATCTGATGAATGTGGCACAAGACAAAGGACACTTAAACTTCCTGTTTAATCCCAGTGGGAGCTGGAGGTGAGGGTGGACACTACCCACTGTGTGTGCAGCCCAGGAAGGGCTCCAGCAGGCCTCCTGTTAGACAGGGATTCACTGGAGATCTCCTTCCCCACCCACCCCCCTGACAAGACAAGGCCGGGTGCCTCAGGGAAATCCCACCACTCTTCTGGAACAGCCACCATGTGTCTGTACCTGGGCACTGTCCATGCAGAAACTGCCAGAGGCCCACAGTGCCCAACTGCTGCAGGGCCAGTTCTTCTGCTTGCAAGGCTACCGTCAGGTCCTGACCACGAATCTCGATCCCCATTGACACTTCATTCACCTTCAGAACCAAAACTGACACCTGTCAAAAGAGATTCTTAGTTTTGATTCCCAACTTTGTGCTTGGCCCAGAGCCTACCCCTGCACAGAAGAAAGCATGGCAGCTGACCGAGTGAAGGACGAGGTCACCACTGGCTGACACTGAGCTGTTAGTCTCTGGCAATCCCTGGCCACAATTATCCAGAACAGGGCTTCCTTGAACACCACTGTCATCTAAGACACTTGTCACAGATGCTGATGGGACAGACTCTGGACCAGACTCTGCATGAAGAAGGTGATAAAAGAGGTCAATGTCAGAAAGTTCTATTCCCTTCCAACCTCTAAAAAAAAGCAGCAACTGTAAGAAACATAAAAAACTGGACATTTGAAAACTAACCAGAGAGCTGATGAATTTAAGAACTGTTATTTTTAAAGTGCAATACTGCATTTAGTCAAATTTAATACAACCTGTAAACAGAAGCAACACTGGTAGTCAACAATCAGCATAAGTATAGATAGATATACACAGAACAATATATGAACGTAAAATGAAAGAAAATTCTACACTACACACCATGAAAACGTAGGAGTCTTACATATATACTGTATTAAATAAACAAATCATAAAAAGATGAGCAAGCAGAGCATGGTAGCACATGCCTAGAATCCAAGCACACAAAAGACCTTGGGGGGGGGGGTCACAGCCTGGAGGACCTACTTCTGTTCCCAGTGGCTCACAACTATCTGTAACTTCAGCCCCAGGGGACCAAATGCTTTCTTCTGGCTTCTGAGGACACCTACACTCACATACACATACCCATACAGACATACAATTAAAAACAAATAAACATGCTTTTAAAAAGCCAAAATCACCCCCACACCAAAAAACAGAGACCAAGTGGAGAAGAGCTAGATGGTAACAGTGCATGCCTTTAATCCCAGCACTCAGGAGGCAGGGGCAGGTGGATCTCTGGGAGTTCAAGACCAGTCTGGTCTACAGAGTGAGTTCCAACACAGCCAGGGCTACATAGAGAAACCCTGTCACAAAAAAGCAAAAAGAAAAGCCTGTGGAGAAAAGCAAAGCCACCCTAGCACTGTTGGGACTGATGTACATCAGCTGGGTCACATGGACAACAGCAGCCCTCAAAAATAAGAGTTCTCACATGGCCTAGCAAAGGAAACACAGTAGTGTATTCAAGGAATGTGTGCACTGCCATGTATACTGTAGCCCAGTCACAATTACCAAGCCACACAAACAGCATGTGCCCATTATCCAGTGAATAAAGAGAAGTGTGAGTATGTAGGAAAACCTGTCATTTGAGGCAATATGGACAGAAAGGCACAAATCAGGTACTACCTCTTATATATGGTGTAAAAAACAATCAGTAAGAAACAATCAGACACATTGCAAAGAAAAGAACGATGGTTACTATGGAGAAAGGGTAAAGATGTTGGCCAGAGGGCATCATTCTGCTGGACAGGAAGAGTAAATGGTATATATGTGAGATAACATTACCATATAAACACACACATTACAATAGGGAGTTTAAGTCTAGCTAGCCTGGGTTACATGAGACCACCCCCCCCCCAATAAAGAATTAAACATAAAAATAACCTAGGAGATGTGTAAAGAAAGCCACAGGAACATATGTACTGAATTCTCTTTCATTTTGCTTAGGAAAGTACCTATTACATCCTATCTCAACTCCACTTGGGCCTGCTAGTGTGAGCATCAGCTAGAGAGAACACACACTCCCTGGACTCATGCAGGTTCACTCCTACATACCCGACTCCAAGAGCATCACAAAGCCATCACTGCCATCACTATCTACAGAAATCCGGTCTTCAGGGCCACCGCTGTCCACTGAGACACCATCAAATGACTGCTGAGAGACTGTCCTCTTCATGGAGAAAAACCGGAGCCGGGCAGTGCCCCCACTCACTGGGGCTGTTGCCCCCTCGTCTGTCCTGGTCACGACTTCCCTATGTTTAAAAAAAAAAAGTCAAAAGACCACCAATTCAGTTTTGAGGACCTGTTTGTTCCCTTTCAATTTGCCCAGCCTCAGTCTAGCACATTTTCCTAGCTCAGGCAAGAAATGTGAACACACACTTGCTGTTTGAGCATTTTAACTACCTAAACAGACAGTAACAATAAATCTCAAGGTTATTCAGGGTCGTGCCACTCACACAAGAGGCCCACTACCTACCACCCTGGTGATAAATGGTACTAAAGCACCTGCACGCATTATACAGTTCTCCTTTCTATGAATTTGTGTATGTGGATGCACACACATGTACATGCATGCACAAGATACATGGTTTCTGAGTTGGCCAGAAGAGGGTGCCAGGCTCCCTGGAGATGAATTACACAAAGGTAGTGAGTCTTCCGACTGGAGTCCTGCAAGAGCAGCAAGAGCAGCAAAGGCCAAACCACTGCACAAGTCTTTACTCAGTTGCTCTGTAGAGACCAGTGGGTAAGCTGATGAAAATACATTCCCTACCCTCAGAGGAAAGACTGGTTAAATAGTATGTTCTATGGGACTGAGTCACACATGCCCTAAGAGGGCAGATGAGAAATTATCAAGAATGGCATTTTAGGAAATGGCATTTTCTTCCTTTGGTTTTGAAACTAAAGTCTTTCCCTATAACCCTGGCTGGCCTGGACCTTGGTATCCTGAATCCCAGGATTCCAGGTCTGTGTCACCACACTAGGTTCAGGAGCCAGCACTGAAGTGTTTGTGTCCTTGAAGGACTGTGCAAAGCAAACAGCATCCCAAGAGCAAACAAAACAAAACACAAAGCTAGACACAGGTGAGGGCACGAGCAGCTCTACCTGGCTCAGCTCACATGCAGTGGGGGCTGGAGGGGAAAGGAGATATGCTGAGACAGATCTCGAAGACAGATGGCTGAAGTGACAGCTTAAAGACCCTCCAGCTCCACTGTGGGGAGTGAGTCAACAGCTAAAGGTGGGATGAAGAAAGACCCAAGTCCTCTAACCTCCACTGAGTGCTTCTCATGACAACACAGACTGTATCCAAATCATAAAAAAAGCTTTAAAGTTTTGTTTTGTTTTTTAAACTTGGTGAAGGTGGTATCTTTTTGAGACAGTGTCTCAATCTCATGTCAATCTTCTAGAATCCCAAAAGTGCTGGGATTAGGGAAGTGAGTAGCTTTAAAAATTCTTAGAGATGGGGCTGGAGACAGCTTGGTGGTTAAGAGCACTGGATGCTCTTCCAGAGGTTCCTAGCATCTACATGGTGGCTCACAGCCATCTGTAACTCCAGTTTTGAAGGATCCAACACCTTCTTCTGGCCTCTTCAGATGCTGTGCCCACATGATGCACAAACATAAATGCAAGCAATACACTCAAAAGTAAATTTTTAAAAAGAAAAGAAAGAGGGAGGCAGGTGTTGTTGAATTTTACTTCAAACTAGGCAAAGATGTGTTACATTTGTTTATGCTGTATTTGTTTAACAATGTAAAGATGTGTTGCTGATTCACTTTACCTGCAAGGCTGATCTAATAAAAAGGTGAATGGCCAATAGCTAGGAGGAGAGGAAGGACAGGTAGAACTGGTAGGCAGAGAAAAGGAAGAGAAGGAATGTAGGCTCACCAAGTACCAAGGAGAGAACAAGGGAGAAACTGGGGCCAGCCTGGGGCCAGCCAACCTGGCAGCTGCTAGGCAGCCAGGCACAGAGCAAGCAAGGAAACAGGACATACAGAACAAAAGCCCCAAGGCAAAACAGAGATGAGGAAAACAGGTTAAATTAAGTCATAAGAGCTAGTGGGACAAGAATAAGATAAGGCCTAGCACTCATAGCTAATAATAAGTCTCTGTGTCATGATTTGTGAGCTGGTTGGTGGCCAAGAGAAAGCCTGTTACAGCCAGCAAAGGTAGAGAGGAGGCTACTGTAGAAGACAGCAAGAGTGTGCTCCCCACCCCGTTCTCTTGAGCGTGCTCCCACCCACATCCCTAACCCATCTCTGCCTGGAGAAGGAAAAGTTAGTGCTTAGTAGCCTGGTTCCCAATCTTTATCCCACCACTCAGAGGTTACGTGACATACTTTCTTTTTGACACAATGGTCTATAATTAAACAGTAATAACTCAGGTTCCAGAGGAGCTGTTCCATCCTCTGCAAGTGCGTGCCTTGCTGAGATATTTCCTATGAAATGAGGCCCGGTATCAATGTGTCCCACAGAACTGGAGGAAGTCAGCAGGTAAATACCACACTAAGGGCAGAATCCAGCACACAGCAACTTTCAGTATGGTATTTATTACACACTCTTCTGTGTGTGTGTGCATGTGCGTGCATGAGTGCCTAAGGGTATTCGCATGTGCGTGTTTACAGTGCAGACCAGAGATCAGCAAACATCAGGCGTCTCCCTTGACTGCCCCATCACATATTGAGACAGGCTTTCTCAGTTAACCTTGGAGCTCCCCAGCTTAGTTAGAAATGGCGGCCAGCAAATCCAGAGTCCTCCTGTCTCCTTATCATTAGCTTTAAGATTACAGGCAGATAGATGGCCTGCTTTCTTTTATACTGGCCCTGGTTACACCAACTAAGCCACCTCCCTGGCTCACAAAAGACCCCTGTGAGGCTTCAACCCCTTCTTCCCTGGCTAACTACCCTAGCAGGCACTATACATACAGGGAACCACTTAGGACAATTCAATTCATACAGAAAAAAGTTCCAAGGATCTAGGGAGATGGGTCCTTGGCTAAAGCAGCCAGAATGCAAGATGAGGACCAAAGTTCAGATCCCCAGAACCACAAAATGCCAGTGGACATGGCACCCTACCTTTAATTCAGGTTTAGGAGGTGGAGATAGGCAAGCTAGCTAACTAGACTAGATGTCTAGGTAAGTTCTGGGCTTGACTAAGAGAACTTGCCTCAATGAATAAGGTGGAAGAAGAATCCAGAACGATTAAAAGCATCAACCTTGGACCTCCACACATGCCCACTCACAGTAAAACAGGAAAGAGGACCTGGAGAGCTGGCTCAGTGGTTAAGAGCACCAGCTACTCTTCCAGAGTACCTGTGTTCAATTCCCAGAATCTCCATGGTGGCTCACAACCATCTGTAATCCTGATCCCAGAGGATCTGAAGCCTGCTGGCCTCCTTAGGCACTGTTCTTATATGCAGACAAAACATCCATACACAAAACAAATTTAATGGAAAAAAAGAAAAAAGCTCTAATTTCTTGACTGTAATGGCATTGTCTGTGAGCCACCAATCTGTGCCAGAAGAGACTTCATCGTGCCACATTAAAAACCCTGTTTTTTTTAGACAGGGTTTCTCTGTGTAGCCATGGCTATCCTCAAACTCCTAAGAGATCCCACTGCTTCTTCTGCCTCCCAACTTGGAGGGAGGGTGTTGAGACAGGGTTTCTCTGTATTGCTTTGGAGCCTGTCCTGGAGCTCATTCTGTAGACCAGGATGGCCTCGAACTCACAAAGATCTACCTGCTTCTTCTGCCTCCCCAGTGCTGGGATTAAAGGCACACAACTCCAAAGCCTGGTCTCTTATCTTCCTAAAACCACAAGAAACTCACAGGAAAACCCATCATTTTCCAACCTTCTGACTATGCCTTTCTATGTTTTTCGTTCACCCTATTATATCCCCAATGCTTAGCACAGGCCCTATTACACAGTAAGCTCAATGTAGTCTTCCTTCTCCATTGCTACAGCAGACACTAGAGCTACAATCCCACAACAAGCAAGTGCAAGTGCAAAGGCCCAGCTCTTTTCTTCATCAGATGTGAGTCAGAGAGCATGACCTCTCTCAAGAATCAGTCTCCTCAGCTATGAGAAATACAAAGTTCTGCAGTTACTTTACTAGGCTATTATGGGGGTCCAATTAAACAAAGAGATTACAAGACTCCAATTACCATTATATCAGAGTCAGGCGCAATGGCACACACCTGTAATGACAAGACTCAAGATGAGATAGACTCAGTTATTTATTTATATATAGATAGATAGATAGATAGTTTCAGCACTAGTAAAAATTTTTGTTGCTGTGTGAAAAAAATAAAGTTCATTTCAGACAAGCCTGGGATATACAAGACTATGTCATTGGGGAATATTATTTTAAGGTGTGTGACTTGTGTTTATGCTGCATTTGTTTAACTCAGTGAAGCTATGTTACTGTGCCTGTCTTAAACACCTGATGGTCCTAATAAAGACCTCAACAGCCAATAACAAGGCAGGAGCAAGGATAGGCAGGCAGGCAGGCAGGCAGGCAGATAGTATAAATATAGGGAAACCAGGGAGGAGCAAGAGAATGAGGAAAGGGGGAAATCAGGGGCCAGTCACCCAGTCATCCATGGAGTAAGAGAAAGATTAATAGAAGTAAGAGAACAGGAAAAGCCCATAGGGAAAAGATAGATGAGATGATCTACACTAAGAAAAACTGAATAGAAACAAGCCAAGCTAAGGCCAGACATTCATAACTAAGAATAAGACTCTGTGTGCAGTTATTTCGGAGCTGGGTAGCAACTACCCCCCCCCAAAAAAAAGAGCAAAATCAACAAATCGAATACTGTCTTGTCTCAAAACTCAAGCAAACAAGATTTGGGCCAGGAGTATGGCTCAGTGCTAAAAGTACTTGCCTAGCATTTGTGAAGTCTTGGGTTCCTTAGCAACAAGAACAGAGTATGGATGCCAGGTACTATTATTCTGATATAGCATAATCTGTGTCGATAATTGTGAAGCTACACATCCTAAAAAGCTACAAATACTGACTTGAAGCCTTCCCATTCAACCAGCCATTTCCCCCCTTGGTTGGTTGGTTATTTATTTATTTATTTATCTTTGTTTTTTCAAGTCAGGGTTTCTTTGTGTAAAAGCTCTGGCTGTCCTAAAACTGGCTTTTTTAGACCAGGCTGTCCTCAAACAGAGTCTTGCCTTAAAGGTGTGTGCTATAATTTATTCATTGGTGTTTTGCCTGCATTTATGTCTGTGTGAAGGCATCAGATATGACTCAGGTTACAGATGTGAGCTGCCATGTGGGTGCCGGGAGTTGAACCTGGGTCCTCTGGAATAGCTAACAGTGCTCTGAACCACTAAGCCAGTTCTCCAGCCCCCTATTCCTTCTCTGAAAGTGCACACAGCAGACCGCTGAGCCATCATCTCTCCAGCCCCTTATTCCTCCTCTAAGAGTGCACACAGCAGGTGGCCTAGAGCCCAATGGTCAGAATTAGAGGAAAAGTAGAGTAATTAAAGGAGACTGAGGGACCACTCACTTGGCAGGAGGTAGGGACCACATTTTGTGCATGGTGGAGGTCATTCGATCTCTGCCCAAACTGAAGGCATCTCTAGTCAGGGACACAGCTTCCTTGGTGAGATCCATGGTAGCATGGAGAGCCTCTTTTGTGGCATCCTTGGTCATGTGAATAGCACTGGACAATTCCCCCTCAATGTTCTTCAAGGGTATGGGTTCCCCTTGTCCATTTATAGCAGCATCCTTGTCAGCTGGGGACTTCAACGCAGCTGGTGAGGCAGCAGTTTCAGTTCTGCTCAACTTCTTGGCATGGAGAGACTCAACTGCCTCACGGCTTTTCCCTGCTGGCTGTCGTGCAAGTGGACCAAAGTCCTGCAGCACTCCATCGTCATGCACCATTTCCCGGGATGCGCCCAGATCTTCAACGCTGCTGTCCTTCTGGATTTTCTCGGGGCTCACTGGGCCCTGGTCTGAGGAGGCATCAGACTTCAGCTCCCGGTCCTCTGACGGAGACAGCTCTGAGTCTATGAGGCTGGTAGTATCTGAGCCTGCACAGTCAGCATCAGCAGTCCCAGGGGCAGGATGCATGAGGAGAGCCACCTCAGCACTAGGGAAGAGTACACCAACGCAAGCTGTCTGGTCCTGCAGGGGAGACCCAGTCATAGCCTCTGTATCCTTGGTCAGCTGCTCCTGAAGCCCCTGAAGCACTTCCTTGAGACGAAGCAGAGCCAAGTACTGGTAGTGGTCGAGCCTCACTTGGAGGTGGGCAGGGGAGTGTACGAGCATGTGAACATCTGCCACACCCTCCAGCTCTGCCACATGCCCTCTGTGGTCCACACCAGCATCACCTTCTCTCATACCCTCTGAGGCTTCAGTAAAGCCTGAGAGGCTTTTCAAGTCCCGTTCAGTCTTCGACCTCTGATGGGACACAGACTCAGGGGCAAGAGCTTCAGAACGCACAGGACTGCCAAAGCTGGCTGACGGTTTTAGCCTCCCCTCTGAGGCCAAGAGGAGCCGCCGTGCCTGGGCTTGCTGCCAGCGGAGAGGAAGGCAGGCCCAAATGGACAAGGGGAAGGGGGCCACGAAATTCAAGGTATGGCCTTTGAAGTTCTCTGTGCCTTCAAAGTCCAAGGAGATCTGGGTGAAGTGCAGAGACCAAAGATCCTGGGAGGCTGTAGGCCTCTGAGGAGGGAGGAAGCTAGGCTGGGCTGGGAGAGAATCCATCTGGAAAGCGTGATGCAGAAAGAGCATGTGCAGAAGGCTGAAGCCCCCTGGAACCTTAGGAAAGTGACCATAACTAGAACGAAAGAACTCAGCAGCAGCAAAGCCCCGGAAGAGACTCTGCAGGTCTGGACAACTACAGTGTGGGGCATGCCGAGTATTGGTGGCAGTCATTCCAGAGGTAGATAAGACAAGTGCCTGGGGTCGATGCAGCTTTGCCTGCTCTCTCTTCTCCAGTGGGAAGCTCACCTTCATAGAGAAAATGAAACACAATTAAGGCTATCCGAGCAGACATGTGGGGATCTGAAGCTGATAGTCTTACTTCTACCAAGTGGACACACAGAACTGTAGATGACAATCTTGAAGAACTGTAGCTGTGTCTACCAGCAAGTGCCAAAGCTCTAGTTCTGTCCCTACCTTCAACCAGAATGCATCCAGCCGAATGTCCAAGTGCTCATCCTTTTGCCTTGAATCTTCTAGCTTATAGATAGCTTTGAACTGCTCCAAGCTGCGGTATAAATCTAGGCAAAAGAGGTTTCCCCAAAGCAAGCTGACAGGATCCATGGTAAACGTCAGACCATTTAACTGGATGTAGAGATTGGGACAGGGAACTGGAAGTAGAGAAAGCAAGGACAGCCATTTACAATGCAACAGCTAGACTCTTACCCACCAGCTAATGTTTCACGATCACAACAGCAAAGACACGCCCTTGTACACCAGCTTTGTTTGTTTCTCAGACAGGATCTCATGTATCCCAGGCTGACCTCAACAAGCTAGGTCAGAACTCTATTAACTGAGTTCAACTACAGCCCCAGCCCCAGCCCCAGCCCCAGGGCAGTTTGTGACTTAGACACATGACTTAGACATGTAAGGCTCCTAAACACAAGTGAGACTATACATAGTTGTCTCAGGGCTGACAAGGATGAAGGGCACCGAGAGAAGAAATGGTGAGCCCAGGGGCTTACCTGGAAGCTCCTGGTTATCGGGAAAGTAATACTCTGTGAACTGTACATGAATGGCAGCCACCTGAGTTGGGAGGTTGTAGTGCTTGCGGCTGCAGGAGAGCAGAGTGGATGGCTTCTTACTTGGCTGTCCAGCTGTGGAAACCTAAGTAACCACAAGCCACTGTTACCCTGTGTCACAGCACCCACAACACAACTGTTTCCTAAGCAATGCTTGCCTCTGCCAGCACACATCCTTCACTGAGAGGAGCACAGAGCTGTCCACACATGTTCCAGACATGGTCACACTGTGCTGCACTATCCCCAAGTTGCTGTTCTGTTTGGTTTGGGGGATGTGTCTCATGTAGTGTAGGTTGGTCTCAAACTGGCAATGTAGCAGGGATCGCCTTGAACTCCTGTCCCCACTTCAAAAGTGCTAGAATTACATACAGGACCTCAATTGGTCCAAGTTCATTTTCAGCAGGAGGTTATAATTCAGCATTCTGAGAACACCCCAAGGCCTTTTCTCAAAGGCCATGCTCAAGAGAAACCAACCAACTATCCATCTACTCAGGAATAAGGCTAACAGGCCCTAGCTTCCATATCTGGGTTCACGCTGTTCTAAACTATTCCACACCCTCCAATGTCTCCCTGTGTCTTCACCTGGTGGATGTCCAGGTCATCCACTCGTACAACCAGGCAACTAGAACGTAAGCGATTCCATTCTGGAGGCCCAAAGGCAGCCTGCCAGCCCTGAGCAGGGCTTTTGTCAAGAGGACTCTTCCCAGGACTAGAAAAAGAATCTAAATAAAAAGGAAAAGGAAAAAAGAAGTAGATACATTCATTATTCACTATTAATAAATCTTAGAAATTAAAACTCCAGGATCCTTAATAGTATAAAGCAGAAAGAAAGCTCAACCTGGTTGGTGGCAACTTGGTAAAAGTCTCTGTGGATTCAAGACAGCAGCCTGCTGACAGACAAGTGTTTGTAACTGCAGCTACACTGCTGACAAAGGGAACTCAACACTGGAATCACACTGTGAGATGCAGCTGGGTGAACAGATTCTCCACTGCTCCATCTTTATCAGTTATCCAGAGCCAAACAACAAAAGGCTGAGCAACCAGAGCCTTCCAGGTCCTCCAAACCTACCTGCCTTCTTCCGGAATGCAGAGTCTCCACCCAGACGCCACGGTTGTTTCAGACTGGTCTCCTCATGCCACTTCTCCATCTTACTCTGAAACTCCATCACCAGCTTCTGGGCCCAATGGCCTCGGGTCTCCATTGCCTCACAGTGCCGCACCCAATGTTTACAGCTGTCACCTGTGGAGTAAAGAAGAAAAGGACTGGAGCCCAATGTCACAGACCAATGTTCCAATGTTCCTCCTGTCAGAATAGTCAGAGTTCAGACTAGATCCTAGACCTAACCCAGAATTTCTTGGGATAAGAGAGCACCCATCTTCTTCTTAGATGGATTTTAAACCTAATATCTTGAGAGGCTGAGAGGAGAATCCAAAGCAACGGCCATTTCCTCTAGTCATCACCAACTGCATACCACACAGGCTTGCAAATGTCCTCATAGGAAGATGCTCCCAACAGCCCTCTGAGCATATGCAGCAATATCCAGCACCCTTTTGCTGGCTGGTCAGCTATGAGCCCAGAAATCCACCCTCAATTACATTTCTCTGACCTGCCCAGTGGAAGGGGTAGTAGTCAAACTCCATCTTGTGGAAGGTAAGCTGCATGGCACCACCTGTGAGTCTGTTTGCAGAGACACCTGTGAAAGAAAGACACAGGTGAACAGCACTGGGGGGGCAAAGAAACCTAAGCATCACCTGAACCACTAGGAAGACCTCTACAGGGCTTGGCAAGAGCAACCAGTGTTCTTAACTAATGAGCTCCTACCTGTGCTTTATATACTAAAAAGAATGTACAAAGATGCCTTTGTTCAAATAATGGATAAGAAACAATAATAATTGTTTTAAATTAGCTATTTTAAAGCTACTAGTATTTAAAATTTAAAAATATAATTACTGATAATGTTTTGAGGATTTTTGTTGCTTTTTAGGCAAGTTCTCATCAAACTCAAGATAGTCTTATTCATCATAGCTAAGAATGACCTTGAGCTCCTGATCCTCCAACTCCCAACTATCAGAATTACAATATATACAACTACAATAACATATTCTTTTCATTTGGGGAAAGACTATACTTTGTTTGTTTTGTTTTTTTCAAGACAGGGTAGGTATCTCTGTGTAACAGCTCTGTCTGTCCTGCATACTGCAAACAGATCAGCAGGCTAGCCTCAAACTCAGAGATCTGCCTGCATCTGCGTCACCAGCACTGGGATTAAAGGTGTACGCCGCTACAGGACAGCCTGCTTTTCTCCCCAGAGGGTGGGACAGAGTCTTGCTATGTAGCACAAGCTTCCTCAAACTCATGACAATACTTGTGCCATAGTCTCCAGATCACTAGGATCACATGTACGAATCACAACAATCAGCAAGAGCACTATGTGGCCCTGGCTGGTCTCAAACTCAAGAGACCCATCTAGCACTAAAGGCTTTCATCCCCACTCCAAGTCCCCAAGCAACACTGGGGAGAAATTACTCAAAATAAATAAATAAATAAAAATAATAATAATAGCTCTAATAATCACTTCCTCTGGTGAAAAAGAACCATGCCATTCCTCATATCTCCTCTTAAAATGGACGTGAAGTTTCACCAGGACCATGGAATAACAAACTGGAGAGGAAGTGCTGCTTGATGGCCCAGGAAGAAAAAAAAAAAAAAAAAACAAGTGTTTGGCCCTGAAACATTACAAGAGGCAAGGATACAGCAGGAGTTGTATCTCAGTGGTACAGCACTTGCCCAGAACTAACAAGGCCCTGGGTTCAACCCCAAACACTACCAGAATAAATAAGTAAATAAGGGGCAAACAGCAAATGTAGCCTAAAGAGAAGTTAAAGCACTAGAAAACACCGTCACCTGTGAGCATCAGAAAGCATGAGAGAGCAAAAGGAACAGAGACAGCGAGGGAGCAAGCAGGTAGTCAAAATCAAGTGATGACTCCGGGCCCCCAAAGCCAGGAGACTATCTCATGTGGGCCTGACAATGGCTTTGAGGTAAATGAGCCAAGACTGTCTTCATGCAATCTCATAAATGAGGCTATTTGAAGAAGTTAAACAAAAGGTTATTGGCTTCTGCGGGCTCATAAAGAAATGGCAATCATTCTGAAAACATATAAGTACACATGTATAATGTGTATAATACTATGTTAAACATACCACTAACTTGACATAACCTCCCTACACAAATTAATACAATATATATATAATCGGGGGAGGGATTGAGTCAGGGTCTCACTATGTAGCCCTAGCTGTCCTAGAACTAGTTATGCAGACCATAATATAATAGCCTTGCACTCACAGAGATCCTCCTGCCTCTGCCTCCAGAGTGCTGTCAGAGTGCTGGAATTAAAGCTGTGCACCACATCTGACTATCACAACATAATATTAAAATGATTTTAAAACCCTGAAAATTTTTTTCTAGGTAGACCTGTGGTGGAGCGCCTATTTTTGTTTAGTGCACAGGAGGTCTGGACTCAATCCTCAGCTCCAAAAAAGGGAGAGAGAAATGTGAAAACTGAGTTTCCTGGACCTGAATTTACTGTTCCTACAATTCCCCAGCAGTTTCTCCTCTTCTGGCAAATACCAGCCTATCTCAGGGTATTTAAGGAGGAAAAAAGAGTGGGCTCAATCCTTCAAGATCTGCACAGCATGGTAGGAAAATGGCCTGCATGTGTACTGTGTGACAGGTGGCTCAGCATACCCTGATGCTGGTGAGCACTGCCTCAAGCTCACACACGGCTAACACAGGAGGGCTGGGGGCCAAGTAACACCTATGATTAAGGAGCTAACTGAAGGGTGGATGCCACAGTGTCTGTGGGAAACCTTTATCCCAGGCTCCTCCAAAGACAGACCAGCCAGCCAGGCACAGGTCAAATGGGTACCTGGCTCCCGGGACTGGCTGTCATCACAGATGTGCAGGTCCAGGCGGGAGATGAGCAGGTGGTAGGAAGACTCCTTCACATCAAACTTCTCAAAGTACTGGCTGAGGCGACTGCTACTGCTGCTGCTGCTGTTGCCCTGGCTGCCACTGAATGCCTGGGCCCAGGTCTGCTGGGCACTGGGGGCAGGTGGAGTGATCTACATGTGACAGAGAGGAAAAAACAGAAACATCAGAGGCTCACTTGGCGAGCACACTAGCTGCTCTTCCAGAGGACCTAGTTTCAATCCCAGCACCAACATGGTGGCTCATGCCTACCTGTAACTCCAATTCCAGGCTTTCAAACACCTTCAACACAGACACACATGCAGGCAAAACAGCAAAGCACATAAAATAAATTATACATTTAGACAGACAGACATCAAGTCCAGGCTCTGAGAGGCTCCTTCTGATGCTTCCTGAAGCTTAAGTCCACATGAGTAGAACCACAATTTAACAGCATTCCTTCCATCTCATAACTGTCTAACCTCTCACTCAGCACTAACAGAGGAAGCAACCTAAACTCCAAAAAGCCCACCCATGACAAGTTTAGCAACTGTCCCAGTGTGTCTTCAGGTTTGTGTTGCCCTGCAAGCTCTCACCTACCAGGCCTGGGCTGACCCCAGTCATCTCTAGAATGTCCTCCCTAAGGGCATTGCCATGCTGGATAGGCAATGCCCCTTCTCCATGCTCTGAAGCACCAGGCCTACCTGTTACAACACCTGGCACACAAACCTGTATCAAAAACTTGTCAACTGTCTATCTTCCAAGACAGTGCAAGAAAAAAAGGCTCATGCCACCTCCTTTCTCCAGAAGCTATCTCCATCTGCTCTACAGGAGAAATCCAGTGAACACGGCAAATGAAAGATGACAGGTGTGAGTGACACAACTGGTGAACTCCATAAGGAAGCCTTCATTCCCTCAACACTGGCACAAACCAGGGCTGGCCAACTACCTCCCCAGTCCCAGAAGATGTCCAGTTGTCGCTAACCTGCACAGGCTCAGGAGCCAGGCTCTTTCTCTGCTGGGCTGACTTCTCCATGGCCTCACTCAGTGACTCAGCATACTTCATCATCGCCTTGAGCTGTGAGTCGGTCAGCACCCAGAGCAGGTCATCCAGCAGGAACGTCAACTTGGAGGCAACCACATTGCAATCCTTGGTCTGAGAGGCCACAGAGAACCCAGGTTAGCACCTTGTACCTTCCAAGGCTTTAAGGTAACTACGACCTGGTTTTCCCAGGTAGCTTTTCACCTTCCAGGAGGAGAAAAAAGAGCCATCAAGCACTCTGGAAAGCCTATATCTTACAAAATAACTCAGGTTTGCTTGATTAAACAAAAGCCACCAGTCAACCTGGAGATGCTGAGGCCAGTATATACACAATAAATATAGGTAGACACTGTGGGTTGGGTTTTGTTTTGGTTTTTGGTTTTTTTTGGGGGGGGGTCTTTTTTGTTGTTGTTATTTTTGAAGTAGGGTTTCTCTGTGAAACAGTTCTGGCCTGGCTGTCCTGGGACTCACCCTGTAGATCATGATGGCCTCAGAGAGCCACCTGCTTCTGGGATTAAAGGCATGTACCACCACCACATGGCTAGAACCTGATTTCTAAAAGTACCAAAACAATGAAAAGTTTTTCTCACACTGGCGGGACCGACAACAATGTGTGTGGACAGTGGCAGAATATCAACTTCCCTGGCATGGGCAGCACACACTCACTCTTCTCTTGAGGGTTATGTGGATCCGGCCTTGGTTGGTAATGAGCCTCAGTGGAGTGGTGACTGGGTCCTGGTCACCATTATCTGTGGCATCTGCCTCAATTCGAAGTGTCTGCCAAGTTATTTCCTTAAATGTTAAAACCTGGAAGAGGGAAAGTAAAATCCCATGATTCTGTGGACCAGAGCTGAGGGGAAAGACAGGACTGAGTGACCACTCTCAGCCAGCACCCTAACAGAAGAAAGCAGTGGGGTCCAGATCTGTAACTGAACAGTGACACCAGACAAACGGACAAAAAGGATCCCAGCTTTTCCAAGAGTGGGGACAGCGCCAAACAGGAAGAGCATCCTCCAGGGGGTTCTACTTGGAATCCCTCCACTCACTCCCCTGAGAACACTAAGGCTGTCACCTCTCCTCGGCGGGGATCAGTGATGCGGGTCAGGCGCAGGTCACTCTGCTGCCAGTTGGGGTTGACACTGTAGCCCTGGAGCTGCCACAATTCAAAAGAAGCATGGAAGGCCTTGGAGTGGATCCTGATGGTGATGGAATTGACGATGATGAACATCCCCTCCACCACCTTCTCGGCAAAGCCATACTCGCTGCAGTGAATGAGGAACAGTGATCAGAACCCAGCAGGCTGCAGGGATGGCCACTGTTCTGGAAGACAGCAGATTCGGCTACAAATGTGACTACTTAGTTTTCTTTCTTCTTCTCTCCTTTATTTTTTCCTCTAAACTTTTTGGTTGGAGTTTTTTTCTTAATATTTTATTTTTGTTTTTATGTTTATAAGTATACTGCCCACATATATGCCTATCATACATCACATGCTTGAAGTGCCAACAGAGTCCAACAGAGGGAGTTAGAGCCCTAAAATTGGAGTTACAGATGGTAACAGTTGCTGTGTGGGTGGAAGGACGGAACTCCTAACCCCTATCTGCTAAAGATCAGCAGTGCTCTTAACCTGGTGGTAGTACACTCTTTAATCCCACCAATAGGGAGCCGGAGGCAGGAGGATCTCTGAGTCTGAGGCCAGACTGGTCTACTAAGAGAGTTTCCAGACAGTCAGGGCTACACAGAGAAACCCTGCTCGAAAAGTAGGGTGGGGGGTGGGGGAGGAGAGAAAGGAGAGAAAGGAGAGAGAAGAGAGATTAATTTATAAATTAAAGCTGAAAGCACACATATATGTGCAATTTAGTCATATAGGGTAGTAAAAGGTCCAAGAGCCCAATAAAAAACAGAAAAAAGCATACACAGTTCACAGAAAAAAATAACAGTAAACTAAACCTTACACACAAATCAAAACTACAGTGACACCTTGGAGTACAGCTAAGTAAGTCGATCATTTGGCTGCCCCCGATTCATCCCTAATATAATAACAATGGAAAAAAGCTGTGACTCCCACCTGTAATCCGAGCACTCAAGTAGAGGCAAGCAGATGTCCACAAATTTCAGGGCAGCTAGCTCTGGGAATCCTCTGTTCCCATCTCTGGATCCCATCTCCAGAGCTAAGATCACAAGTGGATCCCCATGCCCCTCTGGCATCACATGGCTGCTAGTGATGCAAACTCCAGGCCTCACACTTACAAAGCAAGTGTCACTTTACCCACTGACCCATCTCTCCAGTCCTACAAAAATTAAAAAGAAAAATGCTGTGCCTGGTTACCACACCTTCAATTTCAGGGTTACAGAGACAGAGGTAGGTAGATCTCTGTGAGTTGAGGCCAGCAAGTTCAGGCCAGTGAGAAAATGAGAACACGTCTCCAAAAAAGAAAGGGGGGGGGGGAACCCACTGAGAAGTTATATTCCCCTTTAGAAAAGGAAGAAAAAACCCCACCCTCCCAAAGGAGAAATGGGAATATAGGACAGAATAAAAAGTAGATACTGTTAAAAACAGACACAATTTGCTAAGGTGTTGGGAACTAGTAGGCAGTTTCTTCCAAATTTAAAACTCCCCACACCACCACTACCCAAACATTTCCATCCACAACACACAAATACATCTGAATGGATATTCACAAAAGCCAAAATTACAAATGAAATAATAATTGAGTGGAAAGCTGGGCATGGTGGCACAGCCTGTAGTCCTAGCTCTTGGCAGGTGGAGGCAAAAGGTTTGGGAGTTCAAGGCCAGCCTGAGCTACCCACAGTGAGTTCAAAGGCAGCCTGGGCTACATATGTAAGACCTTTCAGGAACTTGGGGAGGGTTGGTTGTCTTAAACCACATAATGGAATGTAACTCAGTTTGAAGCTGTGTTCTCCCAAATTCATACTGCTATTAGTAACATAGACTATGGAGGTACAACACAGCATCTGGGATTTGCTTTTAAGTCCTGGAGCACACAGGGAAAAGACTGGGAAAATGTTGGTAATTTTTGAGATTTGACATTTGAAACATGGGAATCTGATATACTAGTCTATTGGTTTTAGTTGTATGTTTGAAATTTTCAATAATAGAAGTTTTATTGAGCCAGGAAAGGTGTGGCACACTTATAATTCTAATGAAAACCAGCCTGGGCTACATCGAAGGACAATCAACCAAGACTCTTTAACTGGGCTCATAGTAACTGACCTCTGTCCAGAAGCAAGCGCAATGGGAGACTGTCCATTGGGGGGGCGAGGATCCTCACAGGTTTTCATCTCCACCTCCACTTTATCTAGACACTGGAATGAAAGTTATACAGAACTGAGCATCCACATGAACCTCACACAGCACCAGCAAGACAGCAAAGACTGTGCTACAAGCCAGCCATAACCAACACAAACCACACTCCTAACTTTCTGTCTGGATCCCAAAGGAAATGTAAGGATAGAGTCTGAATGATAAAAATCATTATTACAAATCAAAGCTGGGCATAATGGACCACACCTTAAATTCTAGCACTTGGGAGGCAGCGGAAAGCAGATCTCTGAGTTTGTGACCAACCTGTTCTACAAAGTAAGTTCTAGAATAGCCAGGGCTATTTAGAGACCCTGTGTTTCAAGAAAACAAAAAACAAAAAAGATGACTTTCAAGTATAAAAGGTCATTACCAAGCAAATCGGATGTGTCTTCAACTTTGTCCACTGGATCTGAAAGAATGAAGCAAGGACACCGGCCTGTGACAGCTGTTCCTCAAGAAAACAAGCCTTCTGGCCCGCCACAACAATAGCACTTAGACTCTATTCTCACCCGGATGGAGGCCCTGTTGCAGTAGACCCTGGTAATAGCTAGCCAGGTGGGCAGTTCCAGCACATTCTGCAGAACCTCCTCATCCAGCTCCAGGTTGGTCAGCTGACCCTCCCCTTTCAGGGTGCTCAGGTTGATCTTGTCCGGGGAAAGATTCTTAGTGAACCTGCAAAGAGCGATAGGAAAACACCACTGTTTCTAGGGCAACATGATAAACTGACACTGCTGTAACCAATCATCCATGGTCTCCACACCACAAAAGGTACGAGGTAAGACCTCTCATACTCTTATGACAGTCACCATCCCCCTGATAATGCGTGGTAGGGAATCTGGGGAAATGGATGGGGGAGTAGCAACATAGCCTTCCATTTCTGAATCCCCTCATGAGAGTCCCCTAAAAACAGAGCAGTTAGGCCAGATGTATATATACACCTGTGATACCAGCACTTGAGAAGTTTTGTCAAGGCCACAATGAGTTTGAAGCCAGCTTGGTATACATGTCACCCTGATCCAAAGGCAACAAAAAAAAAAAAAAAAAAAAAAAACCCAAAAGATAGCAACTAAATAGAAACATAAAATGCCCATGAGTGGTATTTTGTTTTGCTTTTTTTAATTTATTAGTATTTGTGCATGTTTCATGTACTTAGGCAGGTGCGCCAAGGCACACATTTTTTTTATTTTTTTAGTACATGGGTTACCAGATTCAATGGAAAACACCTTTACCCTCTGCTGGCCTCACACAGCTAACATGTAGAGAGAACTAGAGGAGCTGGTTGGTGGCTCAGTAATTAACAATGCTGGCTGATCTTTCAGAGAATTGGAATTTGGTTCCCAGCACCCACATCAAGTAGCTCACAAATGCCTGTCAACACCAGTTCCAGGGGATCTAATGCTCTCTCTTCCTGCCTCCAAAGGCACCCATAAACATGTAAACACACAAATAATAAAATACATCTTTAAAAAAAAGAAACCAAAATTCCTCCTGCTCATTAGTTGCCCCCATCCTCATTGTGTGACCACATTCTCCAAGGTCACAATGCTTTCTACCTTGTGTGCTGTGGCTTTCCCCTGGCTACACACAGAATCCACCAGTAAAGCCCTACAGCAATCAACAAGTTATCTACTATATTCAACCAGCTATAACCATGACACTAAACCATTGAATTTCCAGAATCAGCAAGTGATGGCCGACTTAACTCAACTCTAAACCTACTACATTAAACTAGTGCAGACCTACTAGAGTCAAACCACTGATCTACTACTAGACTCAATCAGTGACCAAGCAAATCAAACAGTGACACAGTAGAGCTGACTATTGATCTGGAGACTTTGTTTTGTTTTTTGTTTGTTGGTTTGGTTTGGTTTTTTAAGATAGGGTTTCTCTATGTAACAGCCCAGGCTGTCCTGGAACTCTGAATGAAGACCAGGGAGTGGTGTGGCACACACTCTTAATCCCAGAACTCAGGAGGCAGAGGCAGGCGAATCTCTGACGTCAAGGTCAGCCTGGTCTACAGAGTGAGTTCCAGGACAGCCAGGGCTGTTACACAGAGAAACCCTGTCTCAAAAGTTCAAAACCAGAAAAGAAAAAAGAAAAGTAGAAAGTGAAGCTTCCTCACCAGTCCATGGAGACAGGCAGATGGGTGAAACACACCCAAGCATGTTTTCTCTGCACGGGTACAGAACAAAGCAGAGGGTGCAAAAAGGCGCTCCGTAAGTCCAAGAACAGAGGAACACCTAGGATTCAGTGAAAACCCAAGTGGACTACTCTGAGAAAAGTGATTACAAAGTGGGAGGGATTTGCACCTACTGAAGAGACAGAGAGAATCCAAGCAAGTGCAGCTACCTCATCTGTCAACTCCACATGCAAAAATCAAAATAAACAAGACAGATGGGGGAGATGGTCTACAGCATCTTCCTGATGCTGCAACCCTTTAACACAGTTCCTCATGTTGTGCTGACCTCCAACCATAAAATTATTTTCATTGCTACTTCACAACTGTAACTTTGCTACTTTTATGAATTGCAATATAGTTATCTGTTACGTGACCCCTGTGAAAGGGTGTTCTACACAAACAGGTCGTAACACACTTGAGCACTGCTGGTCTAAATCATAGTGCGATGGAGGAACAGACCAGCAGCTGGGAAAGCAGCCACCATGTTTTCATAGCACTGAAAGCAAAAGAGGCCTTTGTAGACTATAAAACATTGACAAGCTAATCACCTTACTGATGGGATCAGAGAACAAACCAACTGATCCTGACTCTGTTGAGACATGGAGTCTAAATGCTAATCCAAAGGAAATGCAGAACAGAGCTGCTGGTCTATACCACTGAGTGCACCACCAACAAACTCAGGCTGGGAACCTCCAGATTCATTGTCACAGACCAAACTCAAGGCTCTCATCCTCATTCCCTTTCCTGAAGCATTCATCAGCAATCCACTTTGTTCCCCTGGGGGGTGGGGGGAGACTATCTTGCCCTTCACACATTGCAGTCCCAATCATGGCAGACTCTGATGTGGAGCCATGCTTGCTCAGTTTGAGATCACACCTAAGATGAAAGCATGAAAGTTTAGTTTACACATTCTTCCCAAGCAGTGACTGTGACTGAACAAACTAACTGCTAACAACTACCAAATCCTTTCTGGCTGGATCAACTTAAGCCTTGTTCTTGAAGCTGGGCCTGCTCTTCTGTGTGGCAAGTGAGGCAAATGAACCTCATCTTGCTAGTGCATCTCAGGGTTGCTATTTTCTGTCACAATATGCAATGTTTTTCCCTCCAACACTATTCTTGTGCTTTTTATGTTTATTCTTATCTTGGATGCTAACAGTTTAGGTTACAAGTTTGTAAGTTTCTCCCCCATGGGTCCCTCTTTCTCTAAGCTGTGTTTCAATGGTGCACACTACATTACTTATTCATTGTGTGGATGTGTGTGACTGTGGGAAGGTGCACTTATGTCAAGGCAAGTTGGTCCTCTTCCTCCATCATGTGGGTCCCAGATGGAGGTCAGGTTAAAAGGCAGCAAATGCAGTTTCTCTGAACCATTTTGCTGGTCCACAGTTTTATTTTTGTAATTGTTTATAGTATATAAAGGGTATTCTTTTGTAATTTTAATAATAAAAATTCCTTTTGGAAGTTGCAACTATGCAAAACAATATCATATGACAGAAGGGACACACAGGAATGAACTGACCTGATAAGCAAATTCAAGAAAGTGATACCTGTGGACTGAGGAAGCTCCAACTGCATAGAGACTCATTTCACAGCTGTTGATTACCGTGGCCTCTTCTAAAGCCCCCATCAGCTCCCATTACATGCACATGGGGCTGGAAGAACTCTCTCCAGGCCCAGTAGGTGGTCACTTAGGCCACTTGTCAGGACAAATGCGAGGGATGAAGCCACATCTCCCTCCAGGACAGAAAATAGGCAAGGACTACAGAAGTTATAGAGTCCCCAAGGTCAGCACCACATCAGCCACTCACACAGGCATCAGACTAGGTACATCATTTCACTCCCAGGGGTCTTGGGGATATAATTATTTCAACCATTGCACTCACACTGCTTGCTACCTCTGCAAATAACCATCAAACAGTAGCAAGCTGTATTAGCTTCTAAACAATGTTGAAGTTCAGAAAAATGGCATCCTAAAATATGTATGACAACTGGCATGCTAACCACTTTTAGTTAAAAGCCCTAGAAAGACAGCAAATGCCCAGCGAGGCTCTAGTCTGACACTTCTTTATCTGCTTGAAGAACAGTCACAAAGTGGGAAATTACATTTGGTCCCTTCTCTGGGTTTGTAAGCATATGGGTAGATTTTGTCACAAGTTATGCTGCCTCCAAAACCAATTCAGTTCCTAAACAGACTCATTTACTAGTACACTCTAGGGCACTGGGCCTTTCACAACCTTTAGCACCCATCAGAATCCTGCAGTCATGAAAAAAGGTCATGAGCTAATCACATTTCTCTGATTGTCCCTAAGGATGTAAACACATGAGAAAATCACTCTCACCTAGCTAGGTCCTTCCAGCAAGGCTTTAGAGGGCCAAGGAAGGTTTCTCCTTTGTTCTACAATAGGACAAAAAGAAAAAGGAATCCCCCTTTAACATATATGTTGACTGATTTTTAATTCATTTAAAATTATATCTGTGTGTGTGTGTGTGTGTGTGTGTGTGTGTGTGTGTGTGTGTGTGTTGCTAGGAACTAAAGGCAGTTTATCTAAGCACTACATCCTAAGCCTTAAAACAATTCTTTAATCTCAACAAAATATGAACCAACTTTGTGCTTTAACCCACAGAGACCAGCTTTTTTCCCCATGGACCCATGGATACTTCCCTCTGAAAACTAGCTTGCCACAGCATGGAGGAATCCTTCTTTTACTGAAATGAATGCCTGCCCACGAGCAGAAAAAAAGGAAAAAGTCAAATCCATCTACTTCAAACGTGACAGAAAAAGTCAAATGCAACTACAAGAAACAGGTCCTAAAGAACAAAACATGTGAGTCATGCCTCTAAAGAGAGGAGGGGCAGTCCCAATGCCTCCAGAGGAGGGGGGGGGGGTCCTGAGGAGAAAAAGCAGACAGAACAGGAAGCTCAGCACATCTGCTATCGAAAGGCACTTCCAAGCCCTGTACACATTCAGAGGATTAAAAGGATTACAGTTCCTTCCTCCAACTTCCCTAGTAACCTTCCTTCAGTACAGGATGAGAACCAGCAAGAAAGACTGCTCTTCCCCAGGCTGGCTTCAAACTGGTATCCTCTTGCCTTCCTTCAGAAGTCCTAGTACTGCAGGTAGGTGGTGCCACTCCCACTTGAGATCTTTTAAAGATGAAAGTGAGGAAGGAAGGGGACTGCTGAGCTAGATCTGAGATAAGAACACTCAGAACCCAGTGACAGGAGAAAACCAACTCCTGAAAGTTACACATACATACACATACACACACACACACACACACCAAAAAATTTTTTGGAGACAGGGTCTCTTTGTATTTATTGCTTTGGAGCTGTCCTGGAACTAGCTTTATAGACCAGGCTGGCCTGGAACTCAAAGAGATCCACCTGCCTGTCTCCTGAGTGCTGAAATGAAAGGCCTGCATCACCAACACACAATTATCTTATATAAGATCCTCCTAGCTTTATTCTGACACTCCTTTATCTGACAATCATG